GAGAGAGAGAGAGAGAGAGAGAGAGAGAGAGAGAGAGAGAGAGAGAGAGAGAGAGAGAGAGAGAGAGAAGGACGGCGGGGATAAGGAGAATTCGAGTTGCAAAGTGGTCCCCACTCACTTCTATTGGACGTCTGGCTTGATGGACGACGAGACACAGTAGTAACATAGTATGCTCTGGATAGCACGATCTGGATAGTATAGTCCACATAGTATGCTATGGAAATAGTCATAGACGCCAACAAGACGTACTACTTGGAACGATTTGCTCTTTGGAGTTTTTCTGACAAAAATGCCGAGTCGTACAGATTCATCTTCACAGTTCAATTTACTACTGTCTTCCATCGAGCACAAGGCACACTGATCATGAATGTATCCCGCTTTTCTGGTGAGATACAGGCATGATGAGAGTGCGTTGTGATCGGGGGAACACGGTGCTCATCAGAAACAGCCCACTGCAGTGTGTTGTTTTTGCTTTCTGGTGGGAATGATCGCTCAGAATTTCGGAACCAGTTTTCTTTCGGCGGGAATGGTCGCTCAGAATTTCGGAACCAGTTTTTTTTTTGGCGGGAGTGGTCGCTCAGAATTTCGCAACCAGTTTTTTTTTGGCGGGAGTGGTCGCTCAGAATTTCGCAACCAGTTTTTTTTTGGCGGGAGTGGTCGCTCAGACGAAAAAAAACAGGTTTTGGCGGGAGTGATTGATAGGAGAAAAAAAACAGGTTTGGGCGGGAGCGAGCGACCAAACTGAAAAAAAAAAAACAGGTTTTGGCGTGAGTGATCGATCGGACTTAAAAAACGGGCTTTGGCGGGAGTGATGGATCAGACAAAAGAAACAGGTTTTGGCGGGAGTGATTGATGAGGCAAAAATACAGTCTTTTGGGCGGGACGATTGATCGAGGGGAGCGTCCATTGTGGGGAGGTGGGGAGGTAGGGAGGTGGGGGAGAAATTCGAACCCACTAGATCTAGTGGTTGGGCAGACAAGTGCATAATGTGGAAACGGGATATTAAGGAGACAGAGAAGCATACCCCTTACTAATAGAAATATACAAGAAGTTCACATACTGCCTGAATCCAATTCGGCGACGAGGGGAGAGGAGAGAGAGGGGGGGGGGAAGGTAGAGGATCCTACTTCTTGGGAACACACTAACACTTCCCGTTGTGCCTGCCTGTGTATCGCTGACGACAAGAACCCGCAAGAATGGAACATACTTGTACGAGGGAGTAGGCGGTACTTTTCCATCGATATGACCAAGACGAGGAGCACCGGGGGAGAGAGAGAGAGCGAGAGAGACAGAGAGAGAGACAGAGAGAGAGAGTAGGCGGTATTCCCACACCGATATGATGAAGACGAGGAGCACCGGCCAAGAGAGAGAGAGAGAGAGA